CATCGGCCTATGCCTATGAAATAATATTAACCCACGTTAACATCATAGCCCGGGATTTATTGGGTATCAAAAACCCAACACATCCGATGTAAGAAGAATCGAAGTTTCATCGGTTATTACATTCTATCAATCATTGGTCGCCGGTGTGTACTACCGGAGCCGTTGGATGAGTATGCGTGTGAGGGAGACAGGGAGAGAGAGAAAATGCCCGAGTTTGAAGGAGGAGAAGAAATTTTATTTGCAGTTACGCCCCTTTGAATTATACTTATTCGGAATTTTACCTTACCTGGTCAAAATGTATTTATCTTCAGCTTTTATTTACTTATAAATGATTTATCTTTTCTTTTTAATACTTTTTATGTTCTTATATTATATAATACTTTCATTTAAAAATTTTAGTCGTATCAAATTGTCGATAATCTACTTGAGGGTAACTCAATAGTCATACCTTGTGTTTGTTTCCTAATAATCACCAGTTCGAATCTCCTCAAAACTATTGAGATGAGTACTCGACTGTAAATATCAGAGCCCCTTAGGATTAGTCGAGGTGTGCGTAAATTGATCCAAACACCCACAATCATTAAAAAAAATTGTCAATAATCTCTAATTAAATACAAAAGAATTGGAAGTGGTCATTATTTCGTATCTAATACATCTTTTTAACTCATATTTCGTGCTTTATTTTATCTATAAATCAACTCAAACGCCTTTTATATGGCAATTTCATATGAAAAGGTTTCAAGATCAAGGCAAGATTAGAATAAATATTATTATTATTATATAGTTTTTTTTTTTGTAAGATTTCAATATAAAATGTCATATTAGGCTAGATTCCTCTAATAATACTACTTATTAGTCAAAGCACTTTCAAAAAAAATTATCGGAACGTGTTCAAAAGCATTAATTTTTTACTTCTAAAAGCTCTGTCAAACGAGCCCTTAGAATTTTTTTTAAAAGAACACTAGCACAAGTATCCCTCAATTTGATAAATTGAGAAAAGGTTCCAAAAAATCACATTACAAAATTAATTAAAAGATAATTAAATCTCACTCAATTTTATTTTGTTTCGGAATAAAATTTTTATTTCATTCAATGCACCCTTTGAATTATAATGAAGAATTTAATTTTATATGAGGTATAGTATAGCATATATTAAAAAACGAGGGTGTAAGTTGAGTGTTTCAATGAACAGTCTCCACATTGTTTCTACCGGCAAATTGACACTCATTCAGTCGTCTGTGAATTGATCCATAACTGGACCATACACTCTTGATTTTACATTACATCTTTTATAACTTTTTCCTTTTTCAGATACTACATGCATTATTGTTATCATAACTACATTATATATCTCTATGATCGAATGCGAGCGAAATGATGACTAATGGCTGAGATGTCAGGTCGATTCATCTTGAGGAGCTTTTCCTTTTCACCTAAAAAATGATGTGTTACAGTGAGAATTGAATGGGCAAAATTGACGTACCACGACGTTATATACTAAAAGTTTTATCGAATTGTACACAATTCTCAAATTTGAGAGCAGTTAATATCTAGTTCAAACTCTCGTCTCAATTTGAGATTCTCCAAAATGATTGATCCAACAAGCCAAGCCACCAAGGTTGGGGTGGCTAGATCCATGTAAATTGGTTTCATCTAGGATCTTTTTATATATTTTTATTTTGTTTATTTGTAAGAAAATATATAAGAAAAGGTAAAATACGCAGTTTAGTCTGTTGTAGACCGTGTTGCGGGTTATATTTCTTGAACGGACTAATTAGGTTTGATTTGCTAAAAAATGCAGACGCACTTAGTTCCTTAATTTGTGTCGATGAATATGTCTCACTTTACACATCTACTTATATCCAATTGATCAACATACTTCAATAAACGATCAAGAGTTATTAGAAACTTGCACGACATCTACTATTGCACCATGTGATGGTGTCAATAATTTAAAGATAGAAAAACTGTTAAGCCAACCCAACAAATTGAATGGGTCAATGACATGTTCATGACATCAATTAATCATTCACCAATAAGCAACTAATATCAACCTTGATGTTGTAACTTATAATCAATAAATAATCACTTATCAGCCAACAAGAAAACCAGAACACGTGATGGATCCAAGTGACATGATTGGGCATAAAACAATTGTCATTGACAAGTGGTGACACCAATCAAGTAGACTTACACCCAAAAGGTAATTATCTCCAATAATCTTAGATCAGCCACCAACTTTATTAGAAATATAAACAATCCACTTGATAGCATTATGGAATCCACCCACCCAACCCACATATATTTAGATTTTTCTATTCGAAACTTTTAAAGTGTGAATTAATTAAGCCTTTTAAATACTTTATTAGTACAGTAAAAACATTATGCTTATAGTGCGATCAGTTAAATCGCTTCCCGAATGTGTAAAAAGGTGATAAGTGGATTTTATATACTTATTTAGGCCATTAAATTAGGGTATTTGTTAGTGATTTGAATGAATTATAGCCTAATTTCGTGTTAATTATATTTGTTGGATTGAAATCAGTTAAAATTAGTGGATTTGGAAGAAAGGAACAAAAACATGCAAAAATAAAGGAATTCTAAAGTTTGGGAACCAAAGTGTAAACGTGTAATAATTGATTCAAATCACAAAACAATGATTGGAGATCACATGACATCAATTGGATGCAATTGGAGGTCAAAGGAATGAAATAGAGTTGAAGCATTTTCACAAATCAATTTCCAATCGAAGAAGTTATGCTCCAGATTTTAAGTCTCAATTTGAGACCCATTTTTCAAGTAGCAAACGATTGAATTAGAAAATTTGTATTTCAAAGAATTGTAGCTCTTTAAGTCGGCTTTCCAACACACTTTGAATCACCTAAATTAAAGTTCGAAAGAAAAAGTTATAATCAAATTACCGAGAGCTTTTTAAGGACAAGGTAGGAAGCAACTGCGGGCGAGGGGAGGCTTAAAGTGGCGCGTGTGAGACCACAATTCTCGCATACCGAGAAAAAACACAATTAAGTGGCGCGGGCAAGAAGAAATATATGGCACGTGAACATGGACCAAATTTTCTGTGACGGGCCAGTTTCCTTATTCTGATGAAATTCTACATGGAAACAATATCTTGACATCATATATATACCTAAACGAAGGGAACCTCCCTTTTGACCTAAAAAAATTATATTCTACACATATTGAGAGGCAAGATATCATAATTGGAGAATCAAAAGAGGAATAAAAAAGAGGAAAACATTAAACAATTGAAGGTTTAACGTATTGATTGGAAGAGGAAGGAGATATTGATGCAAGAATTTTAATTTTTCTTCTACATCTTTACTACAAATCTGGTGATGTATTCCATAATAAATTCTTGTTTATCTTTCATTATTATGAGTAGTTAATCTAAATTTAGGACGAAAACTGATTTGGGAACCTTTATTTCTTTTATTTGATATTATTGTTCGTTATAATTACATGTATGGGTTTTAATCATGTTCTCAATGCTATGAATTTTCTAGCCAATTATTCAATGATTTCATGAACAATAATTGCGTAGAAATGTGGATTCTTATTTAAATCACATATTAAAATTTGGTAAATTAATATAACACGTAGAGATACCTATATTAATTATCGCGGTCATAAATAAATTCTTAGAACTATTAGTACGTTTAACAAAGTTTGATTCGCATAGAGATATGGAATTGAAGTAGTTAAATAGGTTCAATGAAAACTCGAGGGGGGTAAATTGAATACAATAAAAGAATTCGACCGAATACTACTTTAAATTTTATGAATCTCGATGTTAGAAGTAAAGGCAACCAATAGGTAAAGTTGTTCCACCCCAACATCCATTTATTGCTTGAATTCCAAATCACTTTTCGTTGCATCGATTCTCATTTTAAGTAGTTAGATAAAAAATCACAATCAATCATCGTTTTTGTTTATTTTTATCAAATAGTGGTTAGAGAAAATTGAATTAAGTGCTAGAGTATAGTTTTCGAGGGAACGATAATTCGGACTCATAGGTCCACTTTACTACTTGCTATGATCTGTATATTTACGGGATAAAATCGACAACAAAAGGCACGGCATTTTCTTATGCCTAGCGTGTAAGAAGATGCGACTTTTTCTCAAGGAATGATATATGTTAGTGAATTATTCTTAACGAATAACAAAAGTACTGCGAAATTAGGCACTAATAAAAATGTATAATAGTTAATACACTTTATATTCTAACTTAATTTCCGGTTTAATTATTCAAAAGTGATGCCATGCTGCATTTAGAAAATTTTCTGGGAAATTTACAATTTTTTATCCCCATAGTTTTGGGAACTATGAGACATGATTTTAGATTATGTCGTGATTTTCTAATAACTAGTTTTTGGTACATGTGATGAATGTAGTGTATTAATTATTAAAATATAATATTTTATATATTTTGGCCATTGTTCACTTACATAGAGCGTGACTTTATTTAATTTATGTAAGAAAAACTATAGTCCATGTATTTTTTTTCAAGATTTTACGATGTTTTTTGAGGATTTACGTAGTGGGGAGAGTCTCTATAAGCAGTTTATGAAATAATTGATCAAATAAGTTTCTTAAAATGAAGTGAAATCAACAAAGCATATTTACCCTGTCTTTTTATACAAAAAAGTTGGGGTATTAAACAATTAAATCAAAACTAACACCTTAAATATCCCATAACCCCCAAATAATAATAATAATAATAATAATAATAATAATAATAATAATAATAATAATAATAATTAATTAATTAATAATGATAAATAAATAAATTTGTAGAGACCATTGTACTAATTTTTTCACTGTCAAATGTTGGGAACGTGCTTTGCTGACGATCATTGTCCATGCTCTAATTAGATTTTTTCACCACTTCTTTTGTTTGACAACTCTGACTCTAAAAACTGAAAGAGTGATCTCTTTACTTCCATTGTCGGGGAAGCTCAATACTTAGAAGATAACAAGAGTCATCGAGTCTGACTAGCTTTCACATAAAAGAAGTTTGTCCTCTTCCATTGATGTATATAAATTAACTCTAATTGGAAAATTTTCTATATCGTTTTTTGACGTATTCATTATACCTTGAGCGTTACACGGCAAAAGTTTCTCAAGGTTCCCAATTGCAGTTGCATCAACGAATCCGGTCGAATCTTGCAACAAAGATAGACATTTGCCCTAAGTTTGTCAAGACTTTGTGAGCAAAGAACTGAGTAATGTAGGTCCACTCTTTAATGAAGTCTGAAGTGTAAAAGGTATTAGACTTTTCGAACTACATATTTTGGGATACTTAGTTGCATTTTAGAATGGAAAAAGGGGCATGATATTGGTAATGCCTTCGCATGAGGGCATTTGCAATATACACATTTGAAAATGTCCCAAGAATAAGCTTATGGATCTTTATGGTAGTTACTGCAGCCCTTACACTAGTATTATTGGTTGAATAACTCCAATGAACCCTTCGATCGAACCTAGAAGAAGCGATGCTGCATGGTCAAGGTCGATGATAGACATATGTGCAAATATTATCTTAAATTTACGGTGTTTTAATTTAACTAATATAGTATCTGATGATTATAAATAATAATCATCATACTATATGTTGTAACTTGTAATCCATGTATGTTCTTGATTTCGATAAACTTGTCAACATTTTACTGAAAAAACCTCTTAGGATGTTAATTCAAGGTAGCTGGTTTGACAGTTTCCAATATGATCATTCTTCATATTAGTTTTCAAAGTCGAGTGCCATGAGGAAATCTTCTTAAATATAATGGAGAAAAAACAATAAGGACAAAAGGGACCTACTCCCACCCAACTATAAATCCCACCACCATCTCACGCTCGAAAAAATCATTAGCGACGGTAACTACTCGTAGCCTCACCTTATCTCTTTCTTTTCACCCCACCCTATCTCCCCATCTTTCCTGAAATCATTCTCGCACCTCATCTATTGTTTTTCTGATAAATAGATTGATAGGCGCATGAATGATTGTAAAATTTCCTTTGTCTCACATTTGGAACAAAAGAAACAATGAGAAAATTAGAATCTTATATTGAAATTTAAATCAGGTCACCTCCGAATTTCATCAACTATATTGGAATTTCGTCCGCCACATACATTACATATTGGATGACAAACTAACTGAGTAATGTAACTGAAATATTTTTAAGAAATCAAGTGATTAAGCCCACGTTTGAGTCCCATTAATTTTTATTACATTACATTTCATTTTTCTCTCTCTTATTTTCAATCTCACAATTTTTCATAAAATAATATTACACGTAAATCGAAAATTTTTCCTTCTTTTTCAACCACTAATTTTTTAAAAAATACTATTCCACACATTAATTTTTCCCCATAATGGGGGCCAAACAGGGGCTAAGTCGAAGCAAAATAGTGTTTAATGACCAATATGAAATTTAAGGGAAAGTTCGGTAAATTTTGGTGTTTTTTAGTTTTTACATTTTACCTTGAAATAGAACATAAGAAGCAGGAGAGGATTCCTGGGACCCAAATCCGAGTATCCAACGTGCGGAGGCGGACCAAGAAATTTACATGCGGCTGATACTTTGGCTCTTCCCCGTGAAGCAAACTAGGACACGATTCTTGTATATTTAATCAAAAATCCCGTCACATTTCTTGAATCCCTACCTCTACTTCTGTGTACAATGGCCGTGGGGGTGCTTGCTTTACAGGGGTCTTTCAACGAACACATAGCAGGTAATCATCTTCCCTCTCTACATATACTTATTGTTAAGAAAAGGATTTTGTCCATTTAACTGAGTGTCAAAGGGGTGGAAACTTGTAAGAATTCTTGAATGGAATTGGAAAGAAGAGGTAATTCTAGTTCTTTTAATCAACCCTATTCGAAATCTGAATTTGACCACAAGTTTCATGTGTGTAATTTTGCAAAACAGTGGCGTTGAATTTTATGCTATATTTTTCATTTTCATTCATATAAGTTCTAAGTGTGTGTGGGCCGTGTGGCTGGTATAGCGTTGAGAAAGCTGGGAGTGAAAGGGGTTGAGATAAGGAAGCCAGAGCAGCTGCAGATTGTTAGCGCCCTCATTATTCCAGGCGGCGAGAGCACTACCATGGCGAAGCTTGCCAAGTACCATAACCTTGTATGTTTCCTTTTTCTTATTTCTACACGCAGTAACACTTATACACAAAGAGGAGCTCAATGCGGAATGTAAAAACCTGCAAGTCAGTGATATGTAATAGGGAAGGCCACGTATTCTCAGCAAATGGTTTCAAAATCTTGCTTCCTTTGTGATCTGGAATAGGCTATTTATTGCTTAAGTGGTTCTGAAGCTGTGCTGATTACCCCTGTATTTTGTTAACTTAAAGCATGTTTAGGAATTGTTTGTATACTGTTTAAATTAGAAATAAGTAGAAATGAGTGGTGGATGGGTGGGTAGTACTAGTGGGATTCTCGAGATGTGTAAATAAAAAGTGGCTTGGATATGTGTAAACAATTTATAAACATGAGCCAAACATAGGCTTAATCTTTTTCATGTGAAATGGCCATCATCAAGTGGTTATCTATACTAAAGAAAGATAATTAACGTTGGTTAATCATTTTAATTTGAATTTGATGAAGAGTGCACAATCCACAGGTTTAGATAACATGAAAAGCTAAGTAGCATATTTGCATATTATAACATTATTTGGAATTACAGTTCCGTCACACCCTGTCACTGTTGTTACATATTCGTTTATAAGAAGGTTGTTTGATATTTTGGAGCTTATATCTCGTAACAATTGCAGTTTCCTGCTTTACGTGAGTTTGTAAAAATGGGGAAACCAGTTTGGGGGACATGTGCAGGCCTTATTTTCTTGGCTAACAAGGCCACAGGTTAGTATCTTTTTCCATCAATGTTATCTCAGGGAATTATATGAATTTGCATAGTTCTTTCATTAATGTCAAGACTCGTTTCCAGGCGGCAATAATTAGGCTCCACAATTTAATAACCTTTTCTGTTTCTAATTAGTGATCACGATTCAAGAACCCCTTTTGTATATCGCTGTCGAGTGGCATGGACTAAATGAATGAGATGCCCCATATTGTTTGGTTTTGAACTTGATGAGCATTTCTTTCAGGGCAGAAAACCGGAGGGCAGGAACTAATTGGGGGCCTTGATTGTATGGTTCATCGAAACTTCTTTGGCAGTCAGGTATTACTAGCATCCTCTCTACCTTAATTTCAGTACTAATATTCGAGAAAGAAGTGAAGAGAATATCTAACTAATAGTTGTCCTACGAAATTTTTTTTACATATTCTATCATGGTTAATGGTATTTCACTATGGGATGATGTACATTTAACGTTAGAACTCTTTATCAGTGTTCTCTTATAAACAAGAGCACTTTACCACTATTCATATGGAACCAATATTAGGGACTAAGGTTGGACGTGGTCCAGTTCGGAACCGAACCCGGATTTTTGGATATTTAGTAAGTGAAACCATCGGATCCAAATTTAATTATGAAACCATTTGAGTTGGGTTGGGATTGTTTCCATTTATTTCCCGAATTCCATAAAATAATTAATTTTTTATATTTGCAATAACGCTACATTAATACAAATATGAGATGTTCAATCTTAACTTTTACAAAATAACATGGTCTAATCCTGTGATATCTTTTGTCATTTCTTTGTTGAGTTCTTCATAGATTTGATTGTTAAAATCACAAGAATATGAAGTTAGCAAGCTCACAATAATGAAGAGAGACGCAATTGAGCTTCCAATTCGATGTCTCCAGAACGGCAGAAATGGTAGAATAAGAGATTTTGGTGAAACTTATGTAAATTTGACTAAATTTGGTTTGGTTAAAAATTAGAAATAGGAAAATCATATTTTGGATTTGGGCTAATTAGTTAGCAAATTGATTTAAAAAATATAACAATTTAACTTATTAAAGATAAAAAAAAAAATTAGAGAGATTTGGTTTTTGGTATTCGGTTCTCGATTCAGAAATCCATTCGGATATTTAACCTGAGAAGAATCGCTCAGTTTGATTCGATTCAGGTCTAGTTTAGTCCGATTCAGTTGGGGAGTTTTGTCCAGCCCTATTATCCCTATTATGGACATCTTGCTGAACTAATGCATTTTCTAAATTGAATATCAACTCACCCATACTATACTTTAGGCACTTACATATTGTGTGTATTAGGTTGATTTATATATGAAATAATAATTTTTTTTGGGGAAAAGCTTTTGAAAAACAGGTTCGGCATTTGCTTGATGTTCTGATTTAATATTTTTTTTGCCAGGTGTGGCTTATATATAAGATTCATGTTTATTTCCACTCAGTGCCACCTATTTATTTCCTGACCAAACCAATTTTCTCAGCTTCAAAGCTTTGAGGCGGAACTTTTGATTCCCAAACTTGTGGCTGAAGAAGGAGGTCCTCCAAGTTTCCGTGGGGTTTTCATTCGTGCTCCAGGGATCATTGAAGTAGGTCCAGAAGTAGAAGTTTTGGCAGATATTCCCACTCCATCTGACAAAAATGTTCACTCTGGTCCTTCAGTTGAAAGCCAACAGGTCTGCTTTTACCTATATCATTTTTTAGTGGACAAATTTCTCATTTTAAGCATCTTAAGTGCCAGTATACTTTATTTTCAAAATTTATGTGTTTCCTTTTTATAATGTATTGAGGCTTCATTTAATGTGCTTGAGCATTTTTGTTTCTATTAGATGCTGTGTGTGTGGCAAATGAAGCTTTGTAAAGATCATCTTAGTGTCAACCTCTAGGAAAATTACCCATGCAGTGTTGATATTGGACCTCTTTAAGTACACAAGGAAAAACATGTAGATAGCATTTTTCTAACATAAAATGCACAATGAGTGAAAGAATCTTACAGATGTCTTCATGAAAGAAGGTGAATTGAACACTGCACGCTGATGCAATTTTTGAAACAAGTTGTAAGCACAATTTTTATGTGCCACCTACTTCAGGCCTATCTTTATCTTAGTAAACTGTTTTCTGCCACATTATGACACCATTTTCAGATTCTTATTAATAGCCACGTGCTTCCGTCTGTGGCCGGGTGGTAGGGACACTGCTCGTAAGCACAATTTTTATGTGCCACCTACTTAGGCCTATCTTTATCTTAGTAAACTGTTTTCTGGCAAATTATGACACCATTTTCAGATTCTTATTAATAGCCACATGCTTCCCGTCTGTTGCCGGGTGGTAGGGACACTGCTCCATGGGTTCTTCCTTTTCCTAATTGGAAAACAAAAACAATGTGATCCTGCACTTATCTCCTCTGTTTTTTCTTCTACAACATTCTGATAACATGCGCCTAGTAGCAGAGGATAACTTGCGTGCACTCTTTAAGAATCATCTGTTTCTTAATTTAGATTCTTCAGTAAATTTCCCAAAGGTATTTTCTTTCATTCCCTCTCCTTTGCACTACACGAGCCCAAGGGTTTCTGCCTAGTCAAGCACGTCCCAGCTTCAGCCAACAAGCAGATGTAGTTGGCGAAGATGAGATTCTGAAAACATTAGCTTAAACTAATGCAAATTATTAAACAATGGACATATTTGATAGTTCTGTTGATATATTGGAAGCGAGATAACTATATGCACTGGGATTTAAGGTTTGCTATGTTTTGTGTTCTAATCTCAATACTACTGAAGGGTTGAACAACGGCATTAGCAATTTTGGCACTTCTCAGTTGAAATTTGAAATGTATTATTTTTAAGCAATAATTTCTTGGTTTCATTTTTCATTATTGGTCTTTGCTTCCAAATTACACTATTTCATCTGTTTTGTCCTTGCCTTGTTTATGTCATCCTGAGCAGTTAGCCAGTAAGGGATTGAACTTGTGTGGCCACTTAGTGTTTGAAACTGATTCTACAGTTGTTTCAGAAGATAATATGACATGTCAGATTAATCCTCTCTACCATTTACTTTCCTCACGTTACTTCACTTTCACTGTACCTTTTCTTAGTGGTCAGAGTCAAATGAACTTTGTGTTGTTTTAGACATCCTTGTTGAGGTGAACGGAACTATTTTTCATCATCTAGTAAATAATTCCTTTACATTTTCTTCTCCAATTTCTTGGAAGTGGAGATTTTCACATATCAGATAGGAACTCTCAACAGGTTTCTCCCTTGTATGTTTCTTCTCAAATATAGACATATGGTGCATCAGTTGAATTGGGTTTCATAAATTGGTGCATTAGTTGGATTCTTTTCTACAAATCCCTGCATTTGAATTTTGAATTCTACCTAGATCATGCAAACAGTAAAAATTCTTTTAATAGCTAAAAGAGACTGCTGCAATCGATCAGCTGCTTTTGCTGTCAGTTTACCAATTTTGTTTTTATGTCCGAGAATAACCAAATTATTTTGCTATTATTTTGGTACGGTATAATCCTTTGTCGGGTTAGCTTTATCTGTAAATTCTAACAATTAACTAGGAACTATAGCACTTCCATATGTTTTTCGACTACCTAAAACATTGCTATACTAGTATTATTCTTGGCTTGTAGGAAGCCTAATCATACAGGAAACAATCCTAATATTTCAACCATATTTACTATATGTCAAGGATTTTAGGAGGCTGATTTTTACTGTGTGAGAGGTGGGGAAAAAAGCTTGTACTCTCTCTCCATTGTAGTGAATGCCTTCAGTGGCAAGTCGATGTAGCTCTTGCATTGAAGGTGAACCATGATAAACTTGTGGGTTTGCTTAGTTTGTTTATGATTCTATTCTGTTTCTTACTGCACTTACAAGATGGATGAGGGCTTAATCCATATCTGTTATTTATTATGATTATGTTAATCCTTTTTATAGCAAGCATCCTGATCTTTTGACATTTCAATTAACAACATTTGCCTTTTCCTGAATCAGGAGAATGCCACAATGGAGAATAAAGTAATAGTTGCAGTAAAGCAGGGAAACTTGCTAGCAACTGCTTTTCACCCTGAATTGACTGCAGACACTAGATGGTATATGTCTTTTGCTGATGATTGAACAGCTAATTTTCTGATTCCTATACTTGACATTTCCTTTTCCTTCAGGCATAGTTATTTCTTAAAGATGACGAGTGAAATAAGCGAAGATGCTTCAAGTAGCATCATCTCCCAGTCGACTGAGGATCCACACTTTCAAAAGCCGCCAATATTCGACCTTCCTATATACCAACAACAGTGACCGAAAAAGTAACATGACTTTAAATTTATTAATCTCTTCTTCTTATTTTTCCTGTTATCATTATTTATAGTGGTGACTACATCGGCAGGTATTCAATGTCGGACAGTCAATTCATTGCTGACAGAAATTCTTTACATTCAGTGGACTTCTTTCAAAGTGGAAGTGCAATGTTAGTGTTCTAATATTTGGTACAGAGCTTGTGAAATGCTATTTATGTTTAGTTTCTCTTAGAAATAGAGGTTTTGTGTTAGCCAGTTCAGTTCTCTCCTTTCTCTTTTGTGGCAATAAATTGTATATCATGAAATTAGATCTCCTAAACTGAAAGCAGGAGATTTTTTTAGCATGTTTGGTTAAGATTAAAAGGTTCACTTATAATGAATTTGGACCTCGTACTCATCAAGGATCACACAGGATAGCCAGCATGGCGCAAGAGCCTGAACACCCCGGTCAAAGCTCCAGCTTTGAGCCTGGGCATCACGAGCTGGATGATCGGCTCACTTTTACACCACCAAGTTGAGGAATTTGTGGATTTTTGGTAGAAATGAAAGTGAGAGCAAGAAATGGTTCAATTGCCTCTACCCTTTCTTCATCCATAGAGTTTCCCCTTCTCCTTTAAGTTACAAAGAGTAACAATCCAACTTTGTGCTCATTGGGGTTCCAAAGATGTCACACTCAAAATCTGAGCATAAAGCTGCATATATTGGCCACAATGAAGAACTTCTTTATGTTTTAAAGGCTTGGATCCAGTGGAGATGCGCTAGCACTGCTTCCAAAGAACCGCGTAACTTGAAAGAGAGGCTTGTAATGCAAAATGCTGAGCAAGGCCATGCATTTATGACAATGTAAAGCAAGGGTACGAACGTAAGGATTCATCAATGTAGAGGTTCTTATAAGTTGTTGACTTTAAAAAATCGTTCTTAAAGTGATTATTATGAATGCCTTGTAGATGAGTTCAAGATTAAACCATAGAAAATGTCATACAACTTGATGCAGCGTAAGTTCGACTCAATTCAATAAAATTTGCCTCGATTTGATACTTCTCTCACGCGGTTACACATTGCGATGGCGAAATTGACGGCTGATGGCCCATGTGCTCCATTGTTTTCATTATTTTGTCCTCATACTTTCCTTACCTTCTGCTAAATGTTAGGTACTATTTTCGTCGGTTGACATTGCCTTGAATTGTACTGCACTTTTTAAGATTGCAATGCGTTCACATGACATGTTTGGTAGGAAGAATTGAATATCATTGAACAATATTATAGAGCAATATAGTGTCAATTCCTTCTCATAATTGCGGACTAAACTTGCTCCTACTCTTATGAGGGAATCTGTATTTTGTTGCAGGCTCTATCAAGTTTGTAAAGCAAGTCTAGAGAATTAGCCCCTTTTTAGTGTTGATGATATGTGTTGCTGAAAAAAGTTGCTAAAAAATTTGGATCATATAAAATGTGTGGATAAAATTAATTTTTGACTTTGACTAAAATTTTGAACAACTTTTTAAGTTCTTGTTTGTTTCTCACACTCTCTCTCTCTTATTTTCAATCACAATCTTATATAAATAATATTACACGCAAATTAAAAACTTTTCATTCTTTTTTAACCACACATTTTTCAAAAAACATTATTCTAATTTAGAAGAAGTTTTGAAAAAGAATGTTGAGTTTCTTCTAGTGAAATCAAGAACTACATGAAGTTAGTTTTTTATAGCCTTAAATTAATCAAAGCCCTCTTGGTCAAACCCCTCAAACCCTCCAGTATCATGTGAAAATGGCTGTGTATAGCTGTTTGTTCATGGCACTAAGTAAACTCCCACAGATTAAGCCAAACTCCATGGACATTTTCTCCTAGTTATAAGTGCCCTTTAATTCCTCAATGTGTTCATTAATTTTTCATAGTCTCAATTTACAGATAATCACAGGAAAAAAAAAAGTTCAAGAATTGTCAAAAACTTCCTCGAGATGGCTGCAAGGAGGCTGTGCATTGCATTGTCCTTCTTCCTCCTGTTCCTCTCCATGGAAATCCATACAGTTTTAGCTCAAGGCAATAACAATGGCAACGGCAACGAGGGAAACAACAACGGAAATGGCAACGGGGGCAATGGCAATGGTAACGACAACAAGGGGAATAACAATGGAAATGGCAACGGTGGCGATGGAAATGGAAATGGCAACCGAGGCAGTAACAATGGTAACGGCAATGGTAAAAATCCTCCATATGATGCTGCTACAACTAATTATGATGTGTTGCCTAAACTCCCACGGTCGGGACAGGAACGAGTTTTCTGCAAAGCTCGGGGAGCCTGCCAGTACAGGACCCTCACATGCCCGGCTCAGTGCCCCGAGAGGAAGCCCAAGAAGAACAAGAAGCAGAAGGGATGCTTTATTGATTGCAGCAGCAAGTGTGAAGTTACTTGCAAGTGTAAGCCAGCCTCTACCTATCATTTCTATTCCATTTTATTTTGATCAATTTATATAAGACGAGTTGGTTTAACATGGTACTAGAGTAAGCAAAAGTTCTTGATTCAACTCTTCCTGTGATTCATCCACTTATCTTCTTTTGCAGGGAGAAAGCCTAAATGCAATGGCTATGGTTCTCTATGCTACGATCCACGATTTATTGGAGGTGATGGCGTCATGTTCTACTTCCATGGAGCGAAGGGCCGTGATTTCGCCATTGTCTCAGATGAAAACCTTCATATCAATGCACATTTCATTGGTACTAGGCCGGTAGGGAGGACACGAGACTTTACATGGGTTCAAGCACTCTCAATCATGTTCGACTCTCACACACTTATCATTGCAGCCAAAAGAATCCCACATTGGGACAACAATGTGGATGCCCTTATCGTCAAATGGGATGGAGAGACAATCGAGATTCCCACAGACGGAGAAGCTGAATACAAACTCCATGATCGAGAAAGAGTAACGACAATCGAAAGAACCGATGATCTTAACACAATAAGAGTGACAGTTGATGGCCTAGTAGAAATGGACATAAGAGTGACTCCAATTGGTGAACAAGAAAACAAGATTCATAATTATCAAATACCAGAAGATGATTCTTTTGCCCATTTGGAGACACAATTTAGGTTCTTCAATTTGTCTGATTTTGTTGAGGGAATTCTTGGAAAAACTTATAGGCCTGGATATGTAAGTCCTGTCAAGAAAGGGGTGCCAATGCCTATGATGGGAGGGGAAGATAAGTATCAAACTCCATCACTCTATTCATCTTCCTGCAAGGTTTGCAGATTTCAGAGACCCTCTGCTGTTGCTAAAATTTGATTGATTTCAATTAATTTCTGTAATGTATGATTAATAAGTCTAGTCTGATTTAAAATTGTGTTGTAATGTGTATTCTTCCTATGTTCCAATAATGGAATAGATGAAATAATCAAAAAATATATATTTTATTTATGTGCTCTATATGAAGCGAGTCTATTTAAGGATTCCTATGGTTCTCAAGATAGAGTTTGAGAACATGTAATGGAGTTTTTGTGACCTTATTTTTCAAGATATAAATATAAATTAATAAAATTTTCAAAGATATTTTTAGCCTCAGTTTGAGTATCATTTCTTGAAAATAGAATTTACAAAAAGTGATTTCTCGAAGAATTTATAATTAAAAAAAAAAAACCATTTACATGTAAAATTTGAAAAAGAGTTTGTAAAAAGAAATAATGATAATAATTTAAGGAGTCTGTTGACCGTAACAGTCCATGAGGAGGCGTAATCCAAGTTAACTATCTAGTTCGTAATGATTATGTTTACCTAGCTTTCCAATAATAATCCACTGTCTTTTCATATCTTACGAACTACTACCATTATTTCCTCCACAATTTTGGGGTCCTTGATAAGAATAACTTGCACGGTGGATTAGTGTCATGCACTATCAAAAAAGAATCTTCAACGAAAATTTTTGGAGTCCATATTAGAATTTTGGTGGATTTAGGGCTTATTTATTGACTTATGCTACTTTGACAAAGCCAACCAACAGTGTTTTTTGAAAACAGGTGCTGCGGGTCAGCACCTGTTTGGTCGATTTTATTTTTTTGACCGACCAACCAGTGCATGACATGTGTCTCCTGCAAACCCTGTTGGCTGCCCCTATTTTTGTAGCATTGCTCTTATTTATTTGATTATACTCAAAGTTACTTTTGTAGAAGTAAGTTTGAAAACTTCTTAGTCAAAAATATATTTTCTTTGTTCTTGTAAATCGTACTAGCATGCTTTCTACTTAGTTTGGAGTGAAAGAACTTACTTGAAAATCTCTAAACGAGATTGAATCACTTGCCTTTTGATTGATTGCTTTTCACATCGTCTTGTATTCTCTTGTTGATAAGAAACTCGTTCGCCAAGAAAGGAGTTTGATATTCACAATTTAAGAACCCATTTTGATATGTAGATTTTACCAATATCAAGCCACAACAATTATAGATTTTATGTGTAGTGTTCTACACGAATTTTGCATGATCTCTTATGGCTTTGATTGTAGTGGAGGTTACGTAAGAGTTGTGGGTGGTGGAAGGTTGAATTTCAAACTTAAAATCCAACTCTCCCCTCCAAAAAATCATTTTATGCAAATCTAGTTAGATCAATTCATATGGGAGACTCATTTTAACCCAAAATTTTTAATGTCTAAAACTAAGATGACAATTATAGATGAACTAAATAAAAATTTTGCATAGTAGAATTTTTTTAACTTCCTTAAATATTGTAAAAAGAAAGGAAATTTCTATTAGAAAAAAATGTTTTAACTTGTTGGAATATTGTAAACAGAGAAAATTTCAATTAGAAAATACTTTTATAGTGCATTACAAATGATTGCTTAGTTCGGCCCTTTTTAGGGCCCACTTATAGATCTTTTAAAATGAATTTGCCATCCTCTATCTTGTCAAGTTATAGTGTCTTAACCTTGATATAAGTATGTCATCATCCTGTTTGAAGAGATTTGAGTTGGTGGAACAATCACTTCGCTGGGACGCTGGAAGCAAGGGTGGAGAGTTCGATTCCTGGAGTTAACACTGGGAGCCATATGGAGAGGAAGTCATTGGTGTGAACAAACGCCCAGTGAGGAGAGCTCTCTTTGCGGAAGGAGTCCAAATGAGTTGTGGGAACATGGGAGTCAACAAGGGCACATCCTGCGATTTACCTCCCTGAGCTGCTGAGGGGCCGGAGGTTCAGGGACAAGGATCTAGTCGGACGCAAGCCCGGACACCTTGTAAAAAAAAAAAAAAAAAAAAAAAAAAAAAAGAAGATTTGATGGGATAATAAATTTGACCTATCAAATTATCATTATAACTAGCTCGTAACTTGTTGCTTAAGTCATCATCACCTGTGGCATAGGCAATCATTAATTTCCTCAGACTGGTGGATGTGATGGAACTGACGTCAAATGTGACACTTGTTCACTTTCGATTGATTGATAAGAGAGTGTTGATGTCACAGAGGGATGTTCTTTCTATTGATCATAATAATGTTCTCAGATAACACAGCATATGACTGTTTTTACTGGATCAATCCCATGATTTGTCTATCATTGTGATTTGAAGATTAACTGCTTTAATTAGGTTTTGTAGTGAGTGTTTGGCGAGATCAGAAACCAACAATTGTAAAATTCATGTTTGAGAAAAGTAATCTTAACTATTTTTAAGCGCAATTCAACATTGATAAAACCTTGAACATTTGTCAAACAAATGAAGTAATAAAAAATTCAATAAACAATGAATTGACTGGTTTTTAACAACCAATTGATACAAATATAAAGTACAAAATACCAAGATACACAAATGTAACCAAAAAAAAAATTAAAACAGGGAAAAGAAAACAATTAAATTGTAAAAATGAAAAAAAAAAAAAAAAAAAAAAAAGGCAAAATTTTCTCATGTCTTACAAATTTAATCACAATGAATGTAAAGTGCATTGGACTCAAGACGTGGCAATTATTCAAAAACACTCAATATGTCCAAGAAAATCATGTTTGTAATAAATCCTCTCTAATGTCACAACCTAAGTGTTGCAACCATAGCAACTCCAAAGGCCACCATCTGCAAAATGCCACGCATGGCAAGGACGTCTGCGCCAGTAGCGGCCGAAGCATCAACTCCCGCCACAGGGCTGTCGGCCACCGGAGTCTTCTTTTTAAGATTTGGGGAGGATGGGGATGGGGATGGGGCCGAGGCGGGAGCCGGAGAAGCAAAAATCTTCAAAGGAAGAAGCACCTTGTCTACTTCATACACTGCCAATTGGTTGTCTGTATAAATTGTGTTGGCCACTGTGGCATCATTTACACCTGTTATGGATCAAAATCACCCTAAGAAATATCGATGTGACCAAAAGTATGTCAAATATACTTTTAAGCTACTTATTTAACAAAGTCAACTAAAAAACTTAGACTTTTTAAAAAAGTAACTTCTAAACGCAACTAATTAATATGTTTCCTACAAGGCTCTACTTCATCTTTCGTCCCATGGGCGGATCTATAGTGGGGTTGCCTGCACCAACACTATAATTTGAATCCAAAATTTTGCACAAGATTTCAAAAAAAATCCTTATTAGTTTTCATTTTTGCTCCCACAATTATTATTTTTTTTTGAAATTTGCCCCCACAACTCTAAAATTCTAGCTCTGCCCCTGGTTAGTCCTTAAGGTCATAAACTAACTTGGGCATGGAGGCGCATAGGAAAATATCCCGCACCATTTGTGGTGATCGAGGAAGATGACAATACCTGAGGACACATTGACTTGGTTGCCAGAAGTAGTAACATTTAAAGGGAACTCCCCATCGACACTGTCCCCAGCTTGAGTCCTCAATGGATTGCTCACAGTTTGAAACTGTGACATTGTAAGAAAATTAGGCAAAATATGAAATTGCAGTAATGAAACTTTCTCCTGGTCACTTAGGGAGTTTAGGATCCCAGCTTTGAGGCTGGAAAATGCATTATCAGTTGGTGCAAATACAGTTAACCCCTGGTTTGAATTGTTAAGCGCCGTATTTATCTGATCAGCTACTTGTGTGGTCTTCATAAGCCTGATCAGTGTCGTGAACTGGCCGGCCTTTTCGAGGATTTTCGTTATGTTGGTCGGACCGGCTGGTGCGGGTGGTTGTGCCAGTGTCTGAGCTAGGGTTTTCGTGGAGAAGAGGACTACAAAAATTAAGAGAAAGAAAGAAAATAACTTCATTTTTTCTTATAATTTTTGTGGGAATATTTGTGTGCTAAGTCACTTGAAATATAGAGAAAACGTAGGACTACAATGAAGGTGGAGGGGATGAGGATTTTATAGCGAGGAAGAGAAGAAAATGTTAGGTGATGTGTTATTTTAATTAGAAAATATGATGAATTGTTTGGTGAGAGGTTGCAATTATTAATTGTTAAGTGTCTTGGTAGAAATCTCCTTCTCATCTTACTCAAAAAATCCGTTAAGCTTTATTTGAGTTAGCTAAAAAAATGATAATTAAAAAAAAAGTTAAGTATAAACTTTTATCAAAATCTATTATAATTCTTATTTTTAGCAAAACCAAAAAAAAAAAAAAAATTGGTAATTAATTCTAGATATATTAAGTCACTTTTATAATGTGATTCACTTGCTCGAAAATGTTTATTATGGCGTTTAAAAAAATTGGGCATTGAAGAACTTCCGCAAAAAAATTCATCATCAAAAAACGCTTAAGATTTCTCACTTTTTCTATAGTTGGACGAAGTTACAAGGCAATATCAAAATATCGGTTTAACATATTTAGCCCCCATTTGGTGGAGCTAAAAATCATATTTTTAGTAGATTTTGATAAAAGTTAATAAAATATATGATTAAAAAGTAATGGATATCATAATTGTGGGATTAAAATTAACTGATGATTTTAAATTGAATTTCTATCAATTTTTTTAACTGCATCAACTAGAGGTTTTAGAGTTTCGATGGATTTTAACATAGAAAAAGCATATATATACACACATACGATGGATTGCTTGGAAATGCAGGAAAAATGGGATATATGTGAAGTGGTGTGTTGGGGGAATTATTAAAGAAAAGATATCTGTGCATTAATTATTGCTTTGGTAGCACTTTTATTTTAAATTTCTGAGCTGTAATTTGCTTGGCACAAACTTAAGAATGAAGTTTTCTTTGAAAATCAATCAATGGCACCACTCCATTGAAGTTCATGCACTGATTTGAATGGACATGTCTCCTACACTCAACCAATGTAATTATTTCACTTTTATCAATATTTTGAATAATCTTTCTAGCCGAGCCCTACAAGATTTCATTTTTTTTTTAAAATTCTTTTTAGAAAATTATATCTACTTTCTCTATTGTATGGTCCTGCAAAGAGAGTCGAAATCGCATTGACATGTGTTGTGCAGCTCTCAAGCTTTAACTATGTCGTACCTTTGGAAAAAATGGTATGTATCATAAGATCAAATCCGAGACAAGCCCATTTAATTAGGGGTGGGTGAGGGGTCTCTTTTCGGAAAATTTCAATGAAGGAGACCTAATGTTATTTGATTAGATCCAGACGAGAAATCTAGACTCCACCTATGAGTGAGCTGAGCAATCACCATGAGCACTGAGCACACCCCTGATAATTGCGTCGTTGTGCTTGGGCTATCGCTCGTGGTAGAGCCAAAGAGCTAGTACCAAAAGATAGGAATGAGACGACCGGGGGAAGATCTGAGCAAGGAATTGGCAACATGACAACAACCTCTTACTCCAGTAATGAGGGGATACACGGGAAAGAATGGATTGAAGGTCAGATAGATTGAAGGGAAAGTAGACCTTCGATCGGGTCTCGCTAACATAGACGGTTTCAATTAGTATTCACCTTGCCACGCGCTGTTAAGAAGACTTGGTGCTTGTAGCTAGTGATGCTGTGTTGTGACGTTAAGGTTTTTTTAAAAGTAACAGTAATTTTTAAGTAAATATTGAAAGTCTTATAACGAGTACAAAATCGGGACATCAAAAACTACAAACAAAAGACAGATATGTCACATTGTTCAATTAGTGTCCCATGAATCCTTTAATGCTTCCTCGATAGCCAGGTTCTGCTCTCTCATCGTTTGAAATTTCAATTACTTTAATGTTATCGGGATCATTATTGTTCATCGTTCAAACCTTATTAAAAGAAAATAGAATTTAAAAGAAAGAATCATCTGTAGCATCAATATTTTATATTTTTATATATCAATTAGTAATGTTGGTGATTGTTGACGACATCATTGACAATATTATCTGTTGGGCTTTTGATACCCAATAAATCCCGAGTCGTGATGTTAACGTGGGTTAATATTATTTCATAAGCATAGGTCGATGAATGAAATAAATCCAACAACCAAGTCCATGAGCTACACTTGGCCCAATTGTGTTCCTTCTGGATGGCTTGAATCTTGGCTCGTTTACCTCTTTAATGACTCAACTTAAAGCCTAATCCTAGAGTATATATATGGATATAACCCTAGCCTCTTTCTTGTGATGTTTTGTGAGACTTTGTGTGAGAAAAAGGAGAATCCCGGCTGCCCTCTTGCTGAGTGAAAAAACAGCCCCCAGAAGTGTCCAAAACACTTGTTTACTTTGTGTAATTGGTGGTTCCTTCATAGTATACCTTTGTGGTGTCTTCTCCTAACCTTTGTGGCCACAAATCATCATCCTTTCTTGTCCTACGTGGGTAACATTGAATAGCAATCGAGGTGAATTATATTGGTTGTGGTTTTGAGCCGGTTGGATTGGTTGTTGGTAGAGAAAGATACGTTGGACTGAGCCTGAAAAACCACAGTTTGAAGATCCTTTTGAGAGCTTCCGCAACAATTGGTATCAGAGCTTCAAGGTAAAGGTTTTGGCTCGTGAAATCTACCAGAAATCGTCCAGAAAATCGGCAGAAACGTGGCAGAAATCAGATCGAAAAACTGTCCAGAAAATTGTTAAAAATCAGCCCCTGTTTTGGTGTTTTCTGACCAATCCAGAAGGAGTTTGGAAAAACGAAGACCACTGGTGTAACGTGTAGGTGGTGGCGATCAAGGCGATCAGGCGCGTGTGGATGTCGGCGGCACGTGACGGAGGCGCGTGGAGGCCGCGCACAAAGAGGAAGAGAAGCGCGTGAGGGCGCGTGGAAGGAAATTTCGATAAGGTCCCTTCAAGCAGTTTGTTCCTCATATTATTTCTGACATTTTTTTTGTTGAAAGTTTTCTGTTCAGGGTACGCAGTAGAATCTGGACAGCGTTGTTCTTGGGCGTTCGGGACTCGATCGTTATTTTTTGGTTGCTGTAGTTTCCAGAGACTTTAGGACGAATAGTAGTGATCCTAATGTGGTGAATTCGCATGTCTCAATATTTACAGACCTTCAGACGTGGTCCGCTCGGTATCGTGTTCTTTGCTTTTTGTTATTGCAATTGAAATAAATGTGTGGTGTAATTTATTTTTTGCATTAGAGGTCATCATGTGGGGTGACATTAGGTTTGGGGTTATCATGAAGGGGTAACCATTGCCTGTTGCTAGATCTAGGAATTATTTGTTAATTATATGCCTTAAATTCTTTATGAATTTGCTGTCAATTTTTCTACATTATTAGAATTGCATGTGGCCTTAGGAAAGTTTACTGGACTATTCTATGTGAATTATATTCATACTTTACTTGTGGCCATTATTTGGCATTGGTGGCAAATGTAGGTCTAAGGTAAGTGCAAAAAATAACATATATTTTAACTGTTGTAAAATTTGGACATAGTATAAAGAGATTGTCCTAGGATGATAATAAAAGAAAAGATGAGGATAGAGACAAGGTGAATGTGACTTTAGGGTCAAGTAGTGATCATAGTGAAGTTTATTGAGAGAATAAACCTGGTTCTTGCATTGCATCTGTGTGTAATCCTTTCTGCATGTATGTAGTCACTTAATTCTGTTGCAATGTTGATGTTACACTTTCAATATGTATGATGTGTGTAATTGCATAAATTAGAGTGATCTTGTTACTTTGTGTAATATGTTTACATACACAGTGGGTTAAGTTTTGTGGCGTACTCTATTTGCTCTGTGAGTGGTGTGAGAGTGTGGTAGTGAGAAGAAAGTTTGAGCAGCCGTTTTTCTCCTTTATCTTTGTGAGCCTCTGTGGTTTGTGAAATTATGTGAGGCAGCCATGTTAAGGTTACCTTCTTTATCTTTGTGATCCTCCTTTGTGAGTGTTGTGAAGTAACCGACTCTTTCTTTGATTTTTCTCTGTGAGTGCCACCTTCGCCATTTTCTTTGTGAATTTTTTTGGAGCTTTGGTGATTGGAGTAATCTTTGTGGTCACCGAAAGGTGTTAATTTGCCATAGTGAGTTTGTGATGCATTAGTAGTGAGTTGGATGTCTTTTGGTAAGGTGGAGTATAGATGCCTGGAGGTACATGGTGATTTGTACCGAAGGATGTAGAGTGTGCATTTGGATCACGAGTGGAGATGTGATAAAATGTCTAGAATCCTTTATCTAGAAAGAGACCTGATCCGGTGGAGTGTGAGAAAGGCACTTCTATCACTTCTGTTAGGTGGAAACTCATTATCCACGTTGATTGGAAGAAGTGATGTGGAGATAGAGGATTATCCCGTGGACTTAGGATCTATTGAGACTTGCCAGTTAGACATGAGTTAAATGATCAGTCTAGTGAGCTTGGTGGGCGATGAGAAGAGATATGTGTTCTCGAGGTGTGAGCAACATGGAATGGGATATGATAAGTGTGTTGAGATCTTTTCTTAGGGTTATTTATGCATGTATTTCATATGTGGTTGACCGTGGTTTGATTGACTTGGTGTTAATCTATGGTTCTATGTGAATGTGTTTCTGAAAAGATCTGTATGTGTTATCCTATATTATATTGTCATCGCACGTGTATTTGCTCTTGATTGTTTACTGTTAAATATTTGCTTCTACTTGGGTGTTTTTTGACCTTAGCCCTAGTGAGTACATGGAACAGGTATGGTATGTGTTTCAAGTTGGAAACATGAGGTAAGGTCTGTGATCCAATTTTATTGGTTACCTTGATTATGCAAGTATTAACTGTGTGTTTTGATTGCTTGCAGATTTATTGGGCATCAAGGTAGAGATTTGTTGGGTTTTTGATACCCAATAAATCCCGGACTATAATGTTAACGTGGGTTAATATTATTTCATAGGCATAGGCCGATGAATGAAATAAGTCCAACAACCAAGTCCATGAGCTACACCCGGTCCAATTGTATTCCTTCTGGATGGCCTGAATCTTGGCCCGTTTACCTCTTTAATGGCCCAACTTAAAGCCTAACCATAGAGTATATATATGGATATAACCCTAGCCTCTTTCTTGTGATGTTTTGTGAGACTTTGTGTGAGAAAAAGGAGAATCCCAGCTGCCTTCTTGGTGAGTGAAAAACAGCCCTTAGAAGTGTACAAAACACCTGTTTACTTTGTGTAATTAGTGGTTCCTTCATAGTATACCTTTGTGGTGTCTTCTCTTAGTCTTTGTGGCCACAAATCATCATCATTTCTTTTCCTACATGGGTAAAATTGAATAGCAACCGAGGTGAATTATATTGGTTGAGGTTTGTAGCCGGTTGGATTGGTTGTTGGTAGAGAAAGGTACGTTGGTAATACCAACAGACAGACCTGTTGATATAATTTTGTTCTAATAAACAAGTATAAATTTTCGTCACATCGTTGATCATTTGCTCCATTTAATCAAATTATTATTATTATTTTAATGAAGGGCCTTTAGAAGTTTTTGCCTAAAACCTATAATTTGCTTGTATAGCCCATAGTTGAATTGTGATATTAAAGGAAGGAAAGTAGAAAAACATGTTACTTGTTCTTATGTTCGTTGTGTTGATTCCAAAGGCGACACAAGGATTGAAATTAATGACATTGTATGAAATATGCAACAAGATCACAAAGATAAAACAAGATTTAAAATAAAGAAATCAAAGAAAGTTAAGTAGAAACAATATTTTATCATTACGACGATATGGAGAGAATATTACAACAAAACAATTTCGATTTGAACTAAATTGAAAGAAGATGCCACTATTTATAAGTACATATCATACCATAAAGATGGAAAATAGTGTGAAATAAGAAAATAATATATTTTCAATAAAATCACGTGAAAATAAGGAAACAATTTTTTTTCCCATGTGAAAATAAAGAAACAAATTTTTTCCCTAATTTGGGTCATAAATCCAATAATCTTCACATTGACCCGAATTTCAGTGCAACAAACGAAATTTCAAAATTTCTTCATCTAGAAAAATATGTTCAACTGTATCAAAATAACCGAACTCTTCAAAACATCAATCAAAACTCTTCATCACAAAAAAAATAATAAATAAATAATCTTCCTTTGCCCCGTGTCCATAAGCGATACTCGAACCCAACTCTTGAGTCCTATCCTAGTAACTGAACACAGTGAATTCGTTGAAATTAGTAGCAAAGTGGAATCATAAATGCTCGCCTGAGCAATGTTTTGAACCAACCCAGAGCCCTGTCACAAGAGATACTGTACCAAACTGAATATTCACCATAGTACTGAATTTGTCCAGATGTCTCGTAACTTTTTTTGTGCTTCCCTGTAAGATGTACAACTGAGACTTTTTTCGTCCCTTCAGTACAGCCCAAACGCCCCTTCAGACCTTCAAGACTCCACTTCCAACTCCACTAGAGAAATTATAAATTTTCGCATCCAGGCTGCTCAGCGAGATAAGATTGTTTTTCATGTCTAGAACATGTCAAACTTGATTAATTGTTCTGACCATCCCATCTTGCAACCTTAATCTGACTTGACCGATTCCAACAACACGACAAGACTGATTGTTTCCCATCACAACTCCACCTTTCTTGAAAACCTCATGTATCTGAAAGAAATTTCAATTGGAACGCATATGATGCGAACATGCCGAATCGAGAATTCACTCCTCGTTAGGTTTAGACTCTACGTCGAATACCATGGTCAACATCACATCATTGCCATCAGAAAAATCCTCTGTAACGTTAATCTCGTTGGAATTGCATGATTGCCCCTATGATTTGCAGCTAAATTACCTTTAGTCTGCAACTTATTGAAAATTTTCTTAACGTGTTCTTTCTTCCTATAATAGAAGCAATACAAATTGTTGAAATTCGTCCTTGATCTACCCCTCCATTAATTACCATGAGATACCAGAGTTTCCTCATCCCTCGATGTAGCTCCAACCAAATGCTTAATATTCTCCTTTGAGAACAGAGCATCGTAGACATCATCAATGGTCAAAGTATCACGACTGTATAGAATCGTATCTCAAAATGAAGAATAAGAGGTGTATAGCAAACACAACAGGATCAATGCCAGATCGTCTTCATCGTACTTAACCTCCAATGTCTCTAAATCTGCAACTATTTCCTTAAACACAGAATGTGGTCTTCCAGTGATCCTCCTTCTGCTATGCGATATGAATACAACTTTTACTTTAAAGCCAGATTCCTAGTGAGACTTTTAGTAATGCATAATTGCTCCAGTTACAATTACAAAGCAACCGATGTTTTCTCTTTCAAGACATCCTGCAGAATATTATTCAATAAATGAATATGAATCTACAATAAAGCCTTCTGATCCCTCTATTGTTTCTCATATGTTGTCCAATTGGCTGACATCTTCTCAAAACCCAACAATGCATCGTCCAAATCCAACTGCGCCAGAATAATCCTCATCTTTACTTGCCACAGAGAAAATCTTGTATTGCGATCCAATAGTAGAATATCATATTTCAATGTAGTAATCTCTAAAAAATCTCAATCAAATCACGAAGAACCTGCAGCCTGGCTCTAATACTACTTGTTGAACTTTAAGCGACGCAAGGATTAAGATTAATAACATTGTATGAAATATGTAATAAGATCACAGAGATAACATAAGATTTAAATTAAAGAAATCAAGAGAGTTAAGTAGAGGAAATGATGTTTTATTATAAAGACGATATAGAGAGAAAATTACAACATAACAATTTTGGCTTTAACTAAAATGAAAGAAGATACCACTATTTATAGGTACATACCATACCATAAAGATGGAAATAATATAAAATAAGAAAATAATATATTCCCAATAAAATCAAGTGAAAATAAGAAAATAATTTTTTTTTCTAATTTGAGTCATAAACCCAAGACGTTTCCTAATCAAATGATGTATACAAATTCAATTTCATGCATATACTGTTGAGTTACAAAAGACCTCTATTTTCCATTTGCCATTTTTTCGACCTCTCACATCCCCCTTGAAAATATATGCACAAGTTGTCTTGTCAAATGAAAAATCCAGTCATTCCTTTCACCGTTAATATTGATTTCGCGAGAAAGCCGGGGCGACCCCACCGGCTCGAGGTGAAGCTCCGCCACGTGACCCTAGCTCAATGTCGTGGTTGTACATCGATGATCCACTGCCTTGGTGGAAGTGTGTGGGAGAAGGTAATCTCAAGGTGTCCGAATGATCGATATCATAGTTTGATTTTCGTGGAGAAATTTGGTGAGCGTTGATTTCAATTTCACTCCTATAATGGCTCAAGAGATGTAGGGGCGACGTTCCATGGGTGGGCGTTGTGGGTCGACTTGACATTGTTGTTACCGCGCCTGATTTGTTTTGCTTGACGTGTTTTTTGGCTTTGTGGTGCCAATTTCTAAGAGCAGCCGCTACTCTATCGTTGAATATGGTTGGTCTCATCGTTGATCCCATCTGTTGATATCACACAAAAGGGAGTTAGCACTAATTAGTAAGAGAAAATCGGTGGAGAAAAATAGTTTAAAAATGCATTTTAAGTACGGTCAAACGTACAGATGAGATTTTATTTTAAAGAAGATAAACATTTTTTTATTTTATTTGAAGAAATTAATAAATTGTTAAAGTAATAATTATTTCCTAATTAATTATTATGTGTGATTCTAATGATATGTAGGCATTTGTTCTTACCTGAGTTACAAGGGCGTAAAGTGGTAAAGTGACGTAGCTGCATAAAATCTGTATAAGAACCCTGATAATCAATAATAAAAAAAGTGATTAATTATTCTAAAAATATTAAGTCAGAAATAAGAAATCAAAATATTTAATTAATTAAAGATGCTGACCCCATTGAGATTCGAATAATGATATCCTCCACATGTTCATGGAAACATGATCTCAATCCGAATTCAAACTGTAATTAATTAAAAGTAATTAAAGGATATTAGTTTATTTAATCACACACACATACACACACTAGATTATTAATAATTGAGAAATTTTGCAGCTTATTTTGTGTAACTTACTGTACTCCAGGCAAAGAAGGCCAGTTGAAAAGCATTCTGTAAGGTTCAAAGAAAATTAGCAGCATTAGTTTAAGAAGGTGAATTATGCTCTGTTTGGCAGGGATTGGTAGGTATTAAAATCAGATTTTTAGTTTGAAAAGTTTTGATACCAAAAAAATCTGTGATTTAAATTAATTATTGACTTTGACTTATATTAAAATCAAGATTTTAATCGATACCAAACAGGGACTGTATTTAAGAAGCTAGCTAGAGGAAGACAATGTATATAAATTTATTCATATATTAGGTCTATGATAAACGAGTTGAGTAATCCGAACATGTTTTTGCAATGTTCAATTGAATATTACTATTAAACATGAACAACAAAGAGAGACACGTGACAAAATCTATAAGTTATCATCTGATCGTGCCCAACTTGCCGTCAGCTCGAAACATGAGATACAAAAATTTAAAATTTACGAGAATCTTTAATCATTAACTCTTTACCTTTTTTGTTTCAATTACGTGGGCATGTTTAGAATATTAATTAATATTTGAGTCACTTTTCTTTATTCAACGACGCTGATAAGTAAGATACGAAAAGAACAAAAAATTTAAGTTACCTGAAACAGTACGAAATTAATGAGGTAGAGGATGAGACGAGGACGGTTAAACCAGAAAAGATCGTCTCCAGGCTCGACCACAAGAACACCCTTAACAACCTCGCCTCTCTCTTGAATTCTTAGCCCCATTTTAGTTATTATCACTTGTAGCTTGGTCCCGACTAGTAATATGGTCTGTAGTTATACGTTATTTTTGGTTATTGTCAAAATAAATAAAATGTCAACTCTTAAGATGTGTACATAGGAATTGAATACTCACAATCAATGGGAGAAATGGTAGCCAAAGATATGAATACCAGCCTGTTCACAAAAATATAAAAGTTCAGTCAGTTATCTCCAGAAATAATATGTACATCATGTATATTGATGTTGATTTTGTATTGCATTTTCAAAGTTATTCTGAATAAGTTACGAAATATCGTACTTTTTTATAAGTGTCAAGTGGGTTATGCTTATGAACTTAGAGCATGTGTTATACGTATGCTAATAATTAGACAATTTAAATTTGTATTTTCTATAAAGAATAACTCACTTAAGGTTCGGCTCAAAATCGCGACTATATTATTCTTTCACATTTGAGGGTAATGAATGAGATTGATATGAAACTTTCATATCGATGATAGTTATTCGAGTCATGACAAATTAAACGCGTACTTGTGTTATGAAATGAAATAAGAACATCTTATTTAAGTATGTCAATGAGTTGATTAATGAATAGCATATATAATTATTGGAGATTCAAATACTATATAACTGCTAAAACATTTTGATTAATAATTTAAACTTTTGTTGACTCACCATGAGTGTTGAAAAGTAGGAACAGAACAGCAAAGAACCAGATTGGAGGACTGGAATAAGAACCATAAAAATATTAGTGAAAAGAAATAAAAGATGGGAAATAATTAATTTGTCTCAAATGAGTGAGAAATGCCTCTTGTGGTAGTGGATAGTTGATTTTATTAAGGGTCCATTTCATCGAACTTCTGAGTTTGCTTATATTTTTTTTTTGTAGAAAAGTTTTTAAAGGAAGCTATTTTAAGTCGGCATTTTAAAAAATCTTCTAATTAGATCAAATACTTTCAAAAAATTATTTAAGCGTATTAAGCCCTAAATGTTTAAACTTTGTAGTTGACTTCTACTTTTATTTACTAATTTTTGTATGTGTCCTTCATTTATTAACTTAAGCTTTTAGACAAAAACATGAATCCCACGTGTTCGTGAAAAATCGTGTTGTTAACTAAATTTAAATAAATAATTTTTTTATTTTTTTAATTTCTTAAATTTTTAGACAGTAATAATATACGCGAGTTAACACTAACCTAATTCCAACAACCACTTTGAAATCCTCTTCTAATGATCTTTTGATATACTTCCGAAAATCAAATTTTGCGTGGCTCTTGGGGGCCAAATGTGCCTAAAAAATATATATACAAATCAAAAAATTAACACATAAAATTAAATAAAATTTCTACTATTAAAATAACTACTAGAGAAAAAGAGGAAAGGAAAATTACCATAATAAATCCATGTCTTAGGGTCAAATAATCTACTTTAGGAACGGACCTGACGAATTGCCTAAAGAAACAAACCTGAATTTGAAGTAAAAAGGACAATAAAAATTATAGTTGCACTTGCTTCAAATATATGAAATTTACATGCTATAAAATATGTTTCATCCATATATATTTATGGCCTGTTTGGGAGTGATTTTCCCCCAAAAAATTAATTTTTTGACCGTTATTTCAATATTCCGGTTGTTATATTTGACTTCTTCTCTCATAAGTGGATTCCAATTTTTTCCTAACGATCAAAAAATCAATTCTCAAAATCACTCTCAAACAGTCTCTAAGTTAAGGATGATTACTTATAAAATTGATTATATTTGTTTAAGTAATGATGATATGTAATCATTGTAACAAGATGCTTACCTTTTGGTACAAAGTTTTTAGAGCTAAACTTTTTTCAACCTCATTTCAATTTTTATTAAAATAATTGTGCTCGAGAACTACACATTCTCTACAAATTCACTTTTTATAAAATTTATTCTAAAAAATGTACCTCAAGTTGTCTTCAGGAAAGTCAAGAGAATTCATCTTGAAAAAGTCAAATCAATGTGAAGGGATCATCGGTAATAATTTGATTATATTATGCCTCCGTTTGGCCCATATTCTCTTTCTCATTTTTTTCTCTCTCTTATTTTTAACCACACAATTTTTCATAAAATAATATTACATACAAATCAAAAAATTTTCATTCTTTTTCAATCACACGCTTTTAAAAACAAAAACTTACGAATGGGGGCAAACGGAGGCATATTTCTTATCAATCAATGGTGAATTGCAATTAACTTTGAAAATTCAATTATTTCCACTAAGATATGGGTATTTTAAAAAGAGGTCCAAGTATCTACTTGACCCCAATAATTTGCCATATGGCTTTGATTAAGACAATATCATTTAATAATATTTGAAAAAATTAAAATATTTGAAATATTTGAGATTCTAACTTATCTTGTAACATCTTTAGCTACTAAATAAGATTAATGGAGAAAAAAGTTAAATAGGTATCTACTCTCAACTATACGGAGATAATTAATGTTTTTTTTAATGTAATAACTTATTATTAATTAACTATTGTTGATTAACTTTCTTCACTCGTAAATTTAAACTTGTTACTTATTTTGACAGTAATTTACATTACAATGGTTGAATGAAGTGTAAACCTGTAGAAATTCAGAAACTACTTACAATCCATAATAGAAAGGGCGTTTTGCTCCAAAAGCTCAAATGTCTTCGTCCAAATGATGTCTCTCTCGCAAACCTAAATCGTTCAGGATCTGCAGTGAATGTGACTTAGATATTCATGTCATTGCTTTTTCGAATTTCATTTTCAGTGGGGATTGTCCAATGTCTTGTACCTTATTTTCAGATTTGGTTGACTTGAGATTTTATTTTTAAAGTCTAAACTACTATTAAAAGAGGAGTCAAGTAGTTGTAGAATTTTGATACCATGTGAAAACTGGTATTCGATTGTTTGTGTTTCCTTTTCCCATGCTTTCCAACGTCTCATCTGAAACCAAGAAGAAATTTAAAGTATATATCACGAGTGTGTGTGTGTGTGTGTGTGTGTGTATATATATATATATATATATCTGTGTGTGTCTTTCCATTAGTTGGTAAATCATACTCTATGGTACTCGACAATATTAAGAAAATAAATAGCTTAAATATTTATTCATTATCCTTTAATATTAATTTAAATTACCTTGGCTCTTCCCAAAGCCAAAGTGAGGATACAATAGAGGACATGAAAAACAGCCAAAACAAAGATGAATATATGTAGCTGATGAATAGCATCTGCAGACACAAAAGGAACTTTACCCTGCAAAAAAAATCAAGCAAATTATATGTCAATTTCAATTAAGTTTGTTCAAACGTGGTATTAGAACAGACTAAAAAGATGAAGCGATAGTAAGTTTATAGTCGTGCCTTGGGTGCGCATTTGTCGGTACCGGCACCAGCCAGTACCCGTCGTGCGCCACCACCGCCACCATACTCGAGAAGTTTTCGGCGCTGTTCAACTTCAATATTGGAGACTTCATACTTTTTCTTCTCTTGCTGTTTATTGCAAGGGTGCCATGTTGCTTCAATTTTTTCAGATATACATATACCTGAAATTGGACCTTGTCCGACTGTGAGCAGCAACGATATAAATCCCAGCAGCATCAACTCTTAATCCCATAAAAATTATAATTGAATTAGTCAAGATATTTCAATATGAACATGCATAAATAATCTTCTTATCATTATTATTATTATTTTTTTTTTTTTTTTTTTTTTTTTTAATGGAAAAGCCAGTCATGATACCTGATTTGATCTTTTCAAGTGCTTCATAAAGAGCATTTTTGTGATTTGACTTCAACCACTGTAATTTGAGTAAAAAATATAACAAGAAATGAGTTAGAAATGGTTATAATAAACATTAAACTAGACTAGACTAGACAGCTCGACCAATTATGACAAGAAGAAAGAAAATTTAAGGATCAATTCAACAGGATTTCTGATTTTTCTTCTACTTATTGTGGAAGAGTTCTTTAAAAAAGTTTAACTTATGTCAACTTTCTTTAAAAAACCTTTTAACCATAAAAACATTTCCAGATTATTATTCAAACATGTACAAAGTATATTTTTAATCTCGGAAGTAGTTTTTAACTCTAAAGTCTTGCCAAACGAATCATTTCTAATAATTGTGGCACAATAATCGGACAATATTAAAAAAATAAAAACAAAAATTTGAACATCTATCAAACATGCCTAATTTGGTATTATTGCCCCTGTTAATCAAAAACGAAGTTTAAATCTTGTTTCCCGTTCTATGTAGTATTATCTAGTACCATATAATAATGGATCATTTGATAAGTCGAACTGCAAAACACATACTAAACATCAATATATATATATTTGTATTATTACTGCAGCATACCTTTGCAATAAGATGGATGATGTACTCAATGACAATAGAAATAGCAACTAGAATAAAACAAACTATAGCAACTGCCCATGTCGGAGTTTGCTCCAGTGTTCTTCCTCCGCCTCCTCCGGCCATTTTCCGACCTTGGCAGTCACCTTAAACTCTCTTTTGAAATATGAAGTTCTCTTCACACTCTCAAAAGGAAGAAACTTTATAGGATTTATATGTAGGAACTTTCTTTGATAATGTATTATGTACATAGATTGTAGATCAGAAAAGAAGGGAGAAGTGATAAACGAGTATTGACTTAATAGACGCGTAATAGAGATGGGAATTTTATGACTTAATCAAATCATTTTTAAAATACACGATTTCGTTGACTCTTGAGATTATAATTAAATTTGTGACTCTAAATAATTTTCACCCCTCATTTTCTCTGACCTAATTAAAATTGGATAATCTATTATTGATGCCACTTATAAGTTTGGTTATATTATCCACTGATTTAACTGATTAAGACTTTCTTGATTTTCCTTGTGGACATGTGGACGAATAGAAGGTCGAAACTATGAGAATCAATGAAAATTGCACTTGAGATGCCGGTCTATCTTGGGAAATAAGTGATATTAGATTTATTTCTTAAAATTCTCTTGTAAAATAGTGACTTGTTTGAAATACGAATCTTGAAACTTAATTCCTCGCTTGAGCTTTCAATGGAGCATTGTTTGTTTGGACTTAATGATTTCTTATACAGTGTTTATTATTTCGATGCATAATCAACATATCATAATGTAAAATTTATGGAGAAGTGATAATTGTATCATACAAATTAATTTAGTTCCTTTTCGAAAAGTTACTAAAAAACAAAAACATGAAAGAGAGTCGAGAATAAATTTTAAATAGTTGTTGTCTTGGTCAGAATGAATTAAGTTAAAATACTTAGAAATATTCTACTTTGGGGAAGTCTATAGAAATTGATAGAACATAAAAAAAAAAAGGAGATCTAAATTCTAAATAATAAATAATACGAATGGAAGGAGAGTGACGTTTTACTTAATTTACAGTTTAGGTTAAACAATCCATTTAAAGAGTATAAAAATCCATTTCACATTTAAATTTCCAACAAGTTGGGTCCGCTGCTTGAGCATCCAGAATTGCATTGCAATTAGTCTAGGAGTTCAATACATTTGAGTTCACTAACGTCTTGTTTAAGGGTGAATAAACTAAAATTATCCCGAAAAACATCTTCTACGGTGTTGTCGTGTTGGTGTTCGATTTGATAATTCATGTCAGATTACTTGTGGATCCATTTTAGAATGGTTTGTAAGGAATACCAAAAAAGTCAAGCACGGGAAAAATCGATCCATGGAACCCCACTCGAGAAGTCGGAATATGGGAGATGTCATCTCGAAACATCATTGAGATATGACTAAAGAGGTGTGTCCACCTATCACATCATCACGTATATTATAACCAATCAAAGGAGAGTAACGATGACCTAAAACACAGGCTACGATCTAAGCATGATGACGATCTATCGTCAGCAAACTCCCCAGCCCATGAAATCTCTCCAAATCGGGTGTGACACACATCACTGTTGTATAATATATGGTAGCTTCTCGTGCTAACTCGTCTTACATATCCAGAGCCGACCCTGACAATTTGGAGGCCCTAAGCGACAAATTATGTTGAGGCCCTGTACTTTCTTTTTTTTCACGTATAGCAATATTTGAATAAAAAAAATATCCATATTTAAATGAAAACATTTTTTTGATAGGTATTTAAATGAAAACTTTGTACAATTTAAAAGATAGAATTGTTACATAAAATATCACTTACAACCCAAGAGATTAAACTAGCATACATTATATTTAGTCTTCTCACGTTTTGAGATGCATTATTAGTAATCAAACAACTCAAATAATGAACATCAGTTTCAACTCCAAAGATATTAAAAAAAAAAAAAAAATTCTTTGCCATAATAGTAGCAAAACTTTAAGAAAGGACTGCATTAACTATAGTATCTAGTCTCTCCCTTTCCCTCTTCCCAACAAGGGACCCAATATTTCCTTCCCACCCAACAATATCAAATATTTAGTTAAGAAAACATGGAAACACTTGAAAGTAAATTAACATGAATCTCAGCTAGTAATTTAAAGCTTATCGGCAAAATCTGATTTTGAACTTATAAACAAACAACAGAATGAGGCATGACTATATTTGAGAGCCACTGTATGTCTATCTACTCTCATTGGTAAAATTAGCACACAGGGGGATCATATACCTGGATTTTCAGCAAAGCATCACTAGAAATAGTACAAGAATTTTCTGAAGTCGAAGGATGCATATTTAAATCCATTGATGCAGCATGTCCCGGCAAGTGATGACCTTCCAACTCCTCAGATACTCCCTGTCAAGGTTCTATAGCTAACAAGGTGAGCAGAAGGGTGTGATTGAATTGCCCTCATTTACATTGAAATTTTGTGAGAAAAAATATTTTTTATTGGTTAAGAAACTGCAATTCTTTAGATATCAAACACTAATACAATAAGTAGATAAAGAAATACAACAAAGTACACAATAGCCAACATCACATCTCTCTCTCTCTCTCTCTCTCTCTCTCTCTCTCTGGATATACATACATAATATATATACACACACACAATAAATGAAGTTGTGGAGTATAGAGTAGTCTCTTTCTCTTTCTTACCTAGGGCAGTGGGATTGTAAATAATTACATGTGCAAAGAAACCACAATTCCATTCTGTCATCATAATACCATCATGGCCTTGTGATAGCATTAGCACAATAGCACCCAACTCCTCGCTTAACTTTTGTCCTTAGAAAAAAGGTACAGTAGGGAAGAAAAGGACTTTAAGAAAGAAAACGCCATTTATCTCTCTCTCTCTCTCTCTCTTTATTTGCTCAGAGTAGAGTCAGTAATCAATTTTTTTCTCTCACTTCAAATTCAATCATAAAGCAATCGATTACAAAATGATTTACTACAAGAAATATCTCATCTAATTGTCTCTAATTATTTACTACAAGAAATATCTCATCTAGATTACAAAATCATAAATCACTTTTTTTTTTTTTTTATAATTATAGTTGATGAGATTTTGACACAATCAAATCTCGTCGCATTATCTGTTGTTAAAGTAATCTATAAGTTTTGATGTACATGTAACACAATCATAAAAAATTGTCATGTGTTATAGATCTTTAAAAAAAAGTACAACATTTTTGCCACAAAATCCCCAATCTTCCCCACAATTAACACGTATTTCTACATGTGTGCATACATATATACGCATTTTTAATCAATATGTATATATGTGCATAGTACATATACTACTTAACTAAAAAGAGAATCGTAGTAAGTTGGTAATCAATGCAAAAGCAGTTTACATACACATTAATTATAGAACTCGAGGCTTTTTCATGAATGAAGAATCCCAACTATCTTTTCTACGTATATTTTTGTCAATAAAGGAATTTTATCCGTGTAATCGGAACTTTTCAGTAACATATAACGAAGAAAAGTAGTTGATTATAAAGCAAAATAACTTTCCCATTTTGTCAAAAAAGTGTGCAGTGTGTATGGGGCTTCTATATCTTGTTCATCAAGAAAATCTGACTTGTGTATGAAACCTATATGTAGAGAGCGAGGGAGAGGGTAGGGTGGGGTGAGGATTAATTTAGCAATTCCTCTTGTATAGAGTAGCATCTGTTTGGTCTATCTTTCATTTTATTTTTTTATTTTTTGTCATTGTTCAATAGAAAACTGCCAGTGTTATCTGCAGAGACGGATATAGGGGGGCTGGGCTGTAGCCCCCCCCCCCCCCCCGCAAAAATTTTTTTAAGGTATTTTTTATTTTTTTTGGGTAAAAAATCAGTTTTTTATGTGTAAAATTTTTTTTTCCACGTAATAGCCCGGTTTGAAATTTTGTAGCCCGGTCGTGGATCCAATCCTGGATCCGTCCCTGATTATCTGTATTAATTCTGGCAACACCTTTTTATGTACATAAAGCAGCTCTCGGCTTAGTAACGACGTAGACGGGTTCAAGAAATAGCAATGAAATTCCCAAAACTATATATTTTGAGCAAATGAGTCCTCAACCTTGTACAATTGTGAAGAGCTAAGCAATCTACTAGTATTAATTTGTATTTATTTTAATCGTGATTAATTTGGACCATTTGCATTCCGACGGAGTACTTCTGCCACATCAATGAAAGATTGAAACTTGAGTGTACAAATTTAAATATTAAGGACCTATTTGCACAGAATGTAAAAGCTAATTTTCCCTTTAGAAATAATTAGAGACAATTAGATGAGATATTGAAAGCAACTTTACTTGTCAACTTCGACGGCAAAAATGGGATGAAAATAGTCTATTTACCTTGACAATATTGCGGAATGTATCATGCCTCTATCTATTATTAAAAAAAAAAGAAAAAGAAAAAAAAATGAGTTCTGCATCACTCCAAGTCTGGAGAAATAAAAAGTCTTGGATGATTTTTGTCCGAAAGTTTTTTAAAATAGAATAAAAAGGTGCATGTCTATCATAGTTTTAAATTAGCGAAAAAATACAAATATTTATCTCTCATTTTCAAACAAAAATTATGAATATAGAATTTTACTAGTTAATTAATGAAAGATTATTGATAAGAATACAATGAAAAAAGTTAAGGTATTATAAAAAGAGAGAAAAAGAGAAGAAGTTATAGAAGTCAATAGATTTGTGTGTATTATATTAAAAACTAGAACTCCATATTTATAGAAAAAACTAAGGATACAATTGCAATAAAAATTATGGATGTAGGGGTACAATTGTCATTTACCAATAATCATATTATTTACAATACTCCCTGCGAATGACACATTAGAAATATTTCTCTCGCTAAAACCTTATCGAGAAAATTCAATGAGGCGATATAGCTTTATTTTTTCTATTTTCATTTTGCATAAGTATATACCTTCAGGAGTTTGGGATGTATATCTAGAAACTTCAGATTTCTCTAATGAATTCAATTTGTTAGAATTGCGTTTATTTATTTTGGCCAATCATTGCTTCAATAGATATGTTTTGACAAATTTATTTTGATTCCTCGTTATTCATAATATGATGCAGTACATCATATGCAAAAGTATTTTGATAACTTTTTTCCTTTTAGATTCTATTATTTTTCTAATAATGACATAACTTATTGTGATATCTTAACTTTCAGCATATCATGTACCTGAACTACTTTTGGAATTTTATAATTTGTTGTGTTTAAATACTCATCAAAATTATATCTCCTTAATATGAC